AAACTGTGAGCTGGACAGGTGCAAAAAGAAAATTGAAATTTGACCATGACCTTGTACCGGTTTTTCTGACCTGGTGACCTGACCCAAGGTCACCCGGACCTGAAATTTTCAGGTCATATGTAAAAAGGTTGCCCCATAGGCTGTGCCAAATTTGGCGGCGCTGCGCGCCGCCGTTTTTACGCTATCTTCGAAAAACCTTAGGGGGGGGTCGCATCGACCCCCCCCTGCCAGGGCGAGGGTTAACCTTCGCCCAGTGTGGGGGGGGGGGGGCATATGTTACCACCCTGTCGCGTTTTTTGCGTGTGAATAAAAAACCGCGACGCGTAGCGCCGCGCCGCTTAGAGTAGCTTTCCGTACATCAATTTTGGACAATGTGTGAATTTTTGACACCAGGTCATGTCAGGTTAGGTCACCAGGTCAAGTTAACTGACCAAGCCTAAAAAACGTTTGCAATCATGTCCAGCATGCAGTGGTTGTCAGAGGGGTTATAAACTTGGTGGATTGCATAATGTAATGGGCGCCTATAATTTGTATATCTCAGATTTCTTATATCCGTGACCTAAGGTCAGGCCAGTGGCGTGACCTTTCTATTATAAATCAATGGAGAAAAACGAAAATGCCTCTAGATCCGTGTGTACGCATAGGAACAGTCCAAATATTTCAGAATCACAATATTTGGACCACCCGTGACGACCAAGACGTCGTTTTTGCTGATAGCCTCTAGAAAGGTCATCCGAGGTCATTTGAGGCTACAAACAGATTTTTGCCAATACTTCTCGATTGGAAAGAGATAGAACGCTGGGGATAACCTCATTGTGTTTGTCTTTCCGAGACGCATAGACTGACATCCAACATGACATTTTCCGGTCAGGTCATGACCTTGACCTGAGGTCAAATTTTCAAGTTGACCTTTCAAGGTCAGATTATAGTTCAATCGACGCGTCTCGGCGAGAGGAACACGATTCTGGCAATAGAAATGTCGTGGCTTTTTTTAGTCAAAAGTTATTGTCGAAAAACACATTTAACAGCTATGTTTGGAGTTTTTTGCCCTCTGGAGGCTAAACCGTTGACCTGAGGTCAATTTGGATGATGACCTTATCAAAAGAAGAGTTCAAAAGCTATCGATTGCTTTACAATGCGTTTTTCTAGCTATCATAGTTCCTGAGATAATGGCATTGGCATATTTTCTGAAAAATATAATGAAAATGCGCAAAGTTTGACCTTTGATGACCTCTGGTGACCCCAATATTGCTCTAAATGAAAAATGACTGACTGACATACTTTCAAGTTTCAAACCTACGCAATGAGAGCTATCGACTGCTTTTTACTGCGTCTTTCTAGCCCTCTTAGTTTTTGAGTTAGAGGTGGGTGGTAACATATGCCCCTCCCCCCCCCCCACTAGGGCGAAGTTGGCTGAGACCGCCACTGGGGCGCGGGTCAAGTGAATTATGGTCTGATGGTGTATTTGAGTTTTGCAGATTAGTCGAATATAAGTTCGAGCATTTGTCATTAATGAGGTGGCTTCTCAATGAAACAAAATAGCTTGAAGGCCAGGCAATTTGATGAATTGCGCATAAAACTTACATCAGTGTGATTTTGGTAATTAGGAATGACGCCAAATTTCGTTAGAATGTGCAAATGTTCTCCAAATCTTTAATCAACAGTTTATTTAAATGCTATGACGTCTTGTCTTCCAAACTTCCCATGGGTGTGCATACATTTATAAAAGGAGATACAATGCTTAATTGATCATTGTTTATTCGACATTAACAATCATTGAATGTCATTATGTCCCGTCACCATAAACACCCACGACCCTAGCATTGTTTATGCAAACCACCGGTGGAAATACGACCGTCGCTGGTCGTAACTACACCCGGGCCGTGTGGCGACAAATGTCCTGTTTGATTTGACGGGCCGGCCGTCAGTCGGCGGCTGCTGTGGCGTGGATGGCTGCACCCCGTCTGATGGCGGATGGCGGCGGACCGTGGTGGCCCCCCTGTAAACCGACCGACCGGCTGCCGATATGCCTATCGCGCCGCGGACCGTCCAGCTGCAGTGACCCGCGGAACGGGCGCTGCTGAGCGTCTGACGCAATCTGTACAGACGTCCGGCGGCCGTCCTCTCCGTCTCCGTCCCTCCTCCTGACGACGCGAAGACGCGCCGTCGGACCGCTCGAAGCCGGCGGAAACGAGCCCACATGCTGACCGATGGCTCGTTTCGGCCGTGGAGGGTGATACAGCTCGAGTTGTAAGTGCCGGCCGGGAGAACCAGGCGGGCGTCCCCAGACGGTCATGGGCCATTCGCCGGCCATCAACACCCGGAGAGGGCGGTATTAGCGGCACAGAAAACGGCTCGACCAGCAACGATTCGCGTTTATCACCATAGAACACAAATGGCCGAAATGTTTTACAGTCAGTGCAAAACAAAGTTATGTGGTGATATGCACTTGTGCAGAATTATCTAAGCAGTCCTACGAAGCACATACAATTGGACTGAAATGCTAAAGGAGCGTGACATTTAAGAATTTGACGATATTGTTATGCGCAACAATACGTTCGTCCTATATTGTACCTTCCTACTTGGGGATGATATTGGCCTAGAAATACACTAGCAGTGATGTTTCCGCTGACTTTTGGTCCCATTCCTTTTCGTTTTTGGCCTTCATTGTCCTCATCCTTTTCCGCCTCGGTTTTTCAGAGCACGCTTCTAGGGAACCTTCCGCCCTAATATCACATCGGTTCATTGTTTCATTCGTTGTTTCATTCGTGTCATTTCTCTGCTACCATCAGGAGGCACAGTGCAGTGTTCGGGTATGAAGTCATGCCGCTGCCCAGATACAATCGGGCTCTATTGATTCACATGAGGAGGCGCTTACAAGTCACAAACGCATCTGCTTATTATCCTATACATTACACGGTCTTGTGCCTACATGATCCACGGTCCGCGCGGCCGAATGCCGTTTGGAAATATGGGCGGCTGGACTCGCCCATCCGTAGATCAGAATGTCAGGAGATCAGACAGCAACAGCATAATTATGCCGGATCGTGGGGCATGGAAGCGTGGCGTGCACGTCATCAGAGTCCGGATTGGCCGTCGTCGCCGCGGTATGACGGATGGCGCCCGTCTCACTAAGAGGTGACCAGCACGCCCACGGTGATCAGAGATGACCTCAGCATCGCCAGCGCTCCGGCTCGCAAATGACGCGTCTCAGACTCGTGCATTTTTAGACGCTGAGCCATATGACAGCAGCGGTGCAGATAAAGTACTCAGTCGCATTGTTTGATAGGTACACGACTTTTCCGAACGGCCTGCAAGGACGTTAGTTGTAGCGTTCTGACAGCCTGGCTTGCACCACTACGTATAACGAGCATTGCCTATATGCATTCATAAAGAACCGGCAAACTAACGGCACTAAAACGGCAGGACAAACTAATCATAGAATACTGAATAGCATGTGTTACTTTTGTCTCGTATTCACAATCACCTCAACTGAAAAGCCAACTGAAACACTGTGTATGTTGATGTTGTTGCTCGCCTGAATAAGTACCTAAATGAATAGGTGCAGTCAAACGACGAGTACATAGTGTCTAAATGATTAGCGCCTGAAGCATATCAAAGTAAGGTGGCGACTGATGATGAGATAGGAGTAAATAATTGCTCCTGGCACGGCCCTTCATCGCTCATGTTCCGTGAAAAGACCGTCCCAGATTATGCAGATCGCACTAAGACCACCCTAACGTGGAACTGCGCTCCGTGTACGACCTGAAATACGACCGCCGATCAGCGGGGCGGCGGCCGGTGTCCAGGGGCGGGGGCGGCGGTACCGTCAGTCCGCCCAGCTCCGCCCGACCGCGCCAGCAGTGCCAGCTGACGTCCCCGGCGTCCACTGAGGGCCGCCTGACGTGTGTCCTGTCCGACCCACCCCTCCGGAGCGGACGCACACCGACCGGGTCATGGGCGCGCCGCACAGTGGACTTGCAAATCGGCCCGGCGGCCGCCGCTGACTGGAGGGACGGTGAGTGGCTGCGACGCGCCCACTCCGAGCCGCCCGCCACTTAGCCCGCTAATGAGCCGGAAGGTCGCCGGGCGCGCAGAAGTGCTCACCTCAGGTGACTGGGCCCGGCCGGCCGGCCGCTGCCATTCTGGAGACACGTGTGTCAACAGAGGCGTACTCTCATATACTGTCTCCAGAGGCGCAGGTAAACATAGCTGGCTTCTAAGCATTGGCTGGCACACCCGGGAGGCCTTCTGATCCAGCGCTGATGCGCTTTCATGTAGGTGAGATGAAGATGACAGATTTTATCATGCCAGGCGCTCTAAACATGCAAGGTTAGTCAAACACCAAAGACGTTCGCTGCTGGCCTGTGATGAGTCAAGCCTTCGAGTACAAGTACCAAAGAAACACTTCCAATATGCCTATGTACATACCAAATAGTGTAAGCTAGCACCTAATACGTATAGAGACATACATGGGGTGTATAATACTATATCTATGCATATTTGAGTGTTTACAAATAGTATAACGACAGTTCGCCTTATATAGCAGCCTGTTTTCACTGAGAAACATCACACAATGGCTCGAGGCAGGCCGGCAGAACAGCAGAAGCCGACAAGGACCCTGTCTAGGAACAATAAGGGACAGGAGCCTTCAGGAGCGTGATTCCGTCTTATCGGTGCCTTCCCACTACAATTAGGTGAGATAACATAAATATCTTTATTAGGTCCAGTGTTCGTGAAAGAAAACAGGTAAGTTTATATGTGTTATATAATACAGCTTATGTCTTTCTTATGGAAAATGTTAAATAACAGATTTCGATATCAAAAGTCGACAGAAGTCGAAAAATATATATAAATGCAATGAAAACCCTAAGCCTCATGCTAATAATTGTATTGAAAATAGGGCCAAGAAAATGAGACAACTGTTTCGTGCATAGCACATCGTCAGGTCTGACGTGCATAGCACATCGTCAGGTCTGACGAGACCTGACGATGTGCTATGCACGAAACAGTTGTCTCATTTTCTTGGCCCTATTTTCAATACAATTATTAGCATGAGGCTTAGGGTTTTCATTGCATTTATATATATAATCATGAGCCTTAAAACCGCGCTTTCTTTCATCATTCAACATAAGCATAACCGAAGTCGAAAAATCGTCACTTCAAGAACAATACATCCATTCCACACACCCATGGCTAAATAGCACCCGCCCATTTTTACGCACTGCTAGGCGCTGATATAGATAAAGATTCCAAAAGGAGTTTCATTATGAAACACACTTCAGCAACCAAGCACAAAAACACACAACACCTACTCGCACATGGGTCCTGCATCGGAGTTTGGTCACTGTTCGACCCGCTCCGATGCTCACATGCGATTTGGTAGGTATAACAAATAACAATTAGGGACTGCACAGTGCACATATATGCTCTCGTTTCATATTTTCTTCTTTCTGCTATTGACTTGAATCTTTGATATACTTCCTTGACTGAGAAGCCTTCGTTTGAATCACTTGATCGACATAGGTAAACTAGCCCCGGTGCTGTCTCTCACCCCTCTGAGATCTGATGTACATAGTTGTAACCAGCGCTTATCCCTCTGAAATTCGGATGTAGCGTTGCTGCCTCATCTCTTTGACATCTGGGTGTAGCAATCCCTCCGACATCTGAGTGTAGCTGAAGCTGAAGTTCAACCCTCCGACATCTGCGTGTAGCTGAAGCTGAGTCCGTCCAGGTCAGCGATGTGCGGTGCGCGTCTCCCCCGGCCGGTGAGTGGTCGAGTCGCACAGTCCCGCTCCTGTGAAGGCGGTCACACGGTCACGTCAGAGAGATCGGCTGGATGTGTTCTAGTCACACTCACATCCGAGAGTCGTCTCAGGTGTGTCCCAGTCAGAGGGGTCGTCTGTTGTGTTCTAGTCACACGGTAACATCAGAGAGGTCGTCTCGGTGTGTTCCAGTCAGAGGGGTCGTCTGTTGTGTTCTAGTCACACGGTAACATCAGAGAGGTCGTCTCGGTGTGTTCCAGCCACACGACCTGTACTGGGGCGGGCCGCTGTGTGTGTGTTGTAAGTACTGCTTGAATACCTAGTGGGTGCTGGCGCCTGGCGGACGGAATATAGTCGGACCAGTATAGAGTTGGCTGAACCATCTACGTCTTCATACACTTTGTGAGAAACAAAGCGGAACACCGAACACACTGTGGTTGAGTGACTTGTCATTTTGACAGGTTCCTGTTTGGGAATATTTGAGGTTTGAGTGGTAGGTACCTCGTATATCATAGAGGAGCCAGCCGCTCTAGCGAGGGTGGCGCAGGGTAGAACAAGCGTGACAGTACGCAATGTGATCAAAGATATGCATGCAAAGTGCATACTCGTATTTATAACTGTCAGGATGCTGGCATCACAAACTACAGATATGCCCGCAAAAGTGGATGAACGATTACTTTAGGCTGATAGGAATTCATCGTTTGGGCTTTGATGCAGTACAGCACGACTGGCTACGACAGATGATGACTGCGAGCATCCTACACCACTGCGGCATTCGGTGGTCACGCGCCTCTCAATCAGCAAGACGCGCTGAGCTATCGCCGAGCGAGAATGCCGAAAAAGCGTATAGAAAAAGACGGTTGTTACGATGCAAGAAATCGTATTTACTAATAAGCGATTCGATTGAAGCAGTCTGAGTTAAATTATTCGACCGTAGAATACAATAAGTACCAGAAAAAAAAATGAAGCAATAAAAGTTACTCTGTATATGTCCTATAATATATCTATAACAATCGTCTTATGATAAAGGGTCAGATAATAAAAAAAGAAATGAGTTATCCCGATGCTCAAAAATGATCCACTCTTCATTTGCTGAGCGCATTTATCTGATGAAATAACATAAGCACGCATATTTCTTACTAATAAGCTGGCATACCATTTTGCTGCTCATCCCGCCGCAAAAAGCACATGAATCGCTCATCAGCCGTCCTGTTAAATTGACTTTCAATGGCTCGATTAGGGCGTGATTCGGGTTTGCATGAGCGATGAGGTGGCCACTATTGGATCTTGATTAGATGTTTGATTTCATATTCAACTTCATACATTCTCTAGCGATCGTTCGTCAAAGCAGCTACTGAAAAACTCATCTGTGCTCCATCAATCATCACTGCATGTCGAACAGAACAGGCGGGTTTGTAGCAAATGTCCCGGCACGAATTAATCGATCATGGATGTAAGCTGCTTATTGTAGGTATCTACAGCCACTGGGTGAAATGTGGTAGCATTTATTGCGTTTTTTTAAGGACAAACTTCGTTTTTTACTGGAGGTACTGACATGGCATTTGGGTTTTGCGTTGACTAAAACAATATCATGATGTAAACTTTTCTGTGTTCTCTTTGGTATTCGGACCGGTGCTTCCATACTTTAAAAAAAAATATTTGTGTTTTGAACGTAGCGTGCTGCTAGTAAGGTATAGAGCCTACGTTTGAGTGAACTGACTCTTAGACCACCTACACTTCTCCTCTTTTTTCGGCTCGATCGTCTCTCGATAATCAAGGACACGAAAGTCTTATCTTTAGACAGCCACGCTGACCTGGGTTGACATCAGGGGCATAATTAAATAACAGCGAACCGTGTTTCCGGCCTGTGATGTCGCCGTCCTATGTGAGGGACTAAATTTACCTCATTTGAGCAGCAGCTACATGTTTCACCTAATTAGCGTAACGCTGCTTTTTCGTGTTTTGCGCAGCATGCCCCGTCACATTAATTATTCCAACAGCACCAGCCACTTAACTTTGACCTACAGTGACGTCACAAACACTTCGTAACGCCATCACCTCAGCATCGTAACACGACACACTCCGGAAGTAATTCAACTTCATAAGCAGTACAGGTATCTATGGAAACGCGCACTTGCTTCTACGAGCAATTCCTCAGCAAGATGCGAGTACATTGGTGGGGAAGTACGCATCACAACGTAGTAATTAGCTTCTTTGTCCATGAAAGTTGCATCCTAGTTGAAATAAATGACGCAGCGGATGTAAAAGCTAACCGCGCATTCAGAGTCTCTCGGACGACGTAGAATCTTCGTCGTCCGAGAGACTCCGAAGGGGGGGGGGGGTAAATGTCCCGACCGCCGGGCCGCTGGTGGACGGTCACCTGGTCAGAGTGGAGCGGCGCCGGCAGCTCGCGCAGCAGCACCAGCCACGGTGTGAACAGCAGGTTCAGCAGGCCCAGGATCGCCAGCAGCCAGCCGAACCCGACGCTGCTGGCCAGGTAGCCGCCGACAAACGGACCTGACAGCGGTCACAGCCGGGTCACAGTGAGATCACCGTGCAGAGGTCGTGGTGAGGTCAAGGCGGGGTCACAACTGATCACGGCGGGGTCACCAAGGGGTCACGGCGGGGTCACGATAGTGTCAAGGAGTACGACACTGTTAGCTTCTGTAGGGGAAGCGGGGGGAGCACCGACACCTTAAGCATTTCTGCTCACCGAGCTGATATGCGTAATAAAAACGAAGCTCTTTTGCATTCATGTGAAAGTAGGAATGTTTTCCTACATGTTGGCATAGTTTCCAGCGCTCCATTATAAAATTTCGCTACTTTACAGACATTGAAAACAAGTCCTGCATTTTCCGTCCTCCAAAAAATGTGCGGGTGGCACCGCCACTGATGGCGATGTTATCCACAGATCGGCCTTACGGTGACAGCCACCCTTGGAAGCGTTACTGCTGTCTGAAATAGTAACTCAAACTCATATAAGACACACAAGAGTTGGTTGTTAGTTTGTCACAGATCAGACTGTTTGTTGCGGACAATATGCATACAAAGCATGACAAATTCACGTTTATTTCGAAACATCCAGTGAAGTCAAACGTGAGGTTAAAAAACAGACGACGTTTGCGGCCTAACTAAAGCTCTTCTCCGAGCTGAGTGAATCATCATTGCGGCTTTATCCATTTTGCCACCCCTTGGGGTAGCACCGCCGAGCATGGCGGTGTTACCCCACACACAGTCATGGACCGACAACGCCCCGACGGGAAAACAAGCCGGGACGCGATTCTTCTGTAATTCCTTTCTCAACGAAGAGCACTTCATGCCCTCAAATTTAACGTAAAAATCAAGGCATTTTGACTTGAAATGACCACTTACTTGCTGCTAAAACATGCCAAATGATTACAACGATGGTTTGAAATTCACAAAATGGGCAATTGCGATCTCAAAATCAAATAGGGGAGAGTGGGGCAATGGCGGACGGTGGGTAATGCCGGCCACCCATCTCTAGTGAGTACTTTGTCCATCACTAATCAGCTGATGTTGTTTACATTTCAGTTGAGCGCCATTCTAGCACGTGGTGCAAGTTTGTTACGATAGCTCCATTATTTTCATTTTTATAGCGTTAAATGTGTTTTTCGTATCTGATTTTTAATTTCTGTTGCATCTATTTGCTGACTGTGAAATGTGTTAACGCATTTTCAGAAGTGCTGCTTTGCAATGACCTTCAATTAAGCCTTTCTTAGGCGACTGCTGGATGTGAGGCGTTTGCGGCGCAATGCCTTTGACTGCTGCCTGCTTTCTTAAAATAAAGCTGACCTCGGGGTAATACCGGACACGTGTCCGGAATGACTCCACGCGGTTTTGTTTGCGACTTCTGTCGTTAAAGCTCAACGTTTCGGGTTGCTGTGTTTACGGCTGTGTTAGTTTGCTTGCTGTGTTTACGGTTGTGTTAGTTTGCTGCTCTGTTGGCGCCGCGCTGTTGTGTTGCAGCGAGTGCAGTGTTGTGTTGCAGTGCAGTGTACTGTTAACTGCTGAATACAGTTGTCGTTTCTTAATTCTCACTTAAATTTCCATCGAAAGAACGGTTTAAGGATGAATACCAGTGACGATATTTCGACTTTTGTGCTATTGCACTTAGTGGCCGGCATTACCCCTCGCTTTTTTGCACCTCCATTTTTCACCACATTTTCGCGTAGGCTCTGAATCTGTCATCAGTGATCTGAGATACTAAAACTGGGTGCTATCTGAAAGCCTATTCCTTTGGCTATAACCACAGTCAAAATCACCATAAAATAGCTTCAAATAGCTAAGCTATTGAGCAAAATGCTTATGGTGTCGCCATTGCCCCACTCTCCCCTAAATCTTAGCGAAACCTACCTCACGCGGCGTCCCGTTTCCGTTTGGACACCGAAATGGCGGGTGTTTACATTTACAATTCAGAGTTTTGCCGATAGAGAGGATGGCGGTGTTTCCCACATGGCGGTGCTACCCCCGCTTCCCCTACAGCACGGTACCGTCATAGGAGTGGATTTGCAGATCTACAGGCTGGCAGAACATTGCGTGCGGGATATTGGGCACTGAAGACTGCTGTTGCCACTAGTTTCAAGAGCTTCACTAATCAGTTCCGCAGCAATTCATTCATATAACCTACAGAACTTATCATTTCCTGTTTGCCTTACGAGCACATTAAAACTAACTAGAAGTTATTCAGCGTCTGACCAAACAACCTGCTCAATGAATGTGAGGGAGAACGATCACACTCCAGAGCGCAGCGAACTGAGCCAATTAGGGAAACAATAAGCTGAAATAGGAAATGAGCTCAAACTTGGGATAACTCTTACATAATATACATTATACAAGTCATTTAATTGGGTTTAACACGCACCAGGGGCGGATCTAGGATTTCGATAGGGTGGGGGCAGTCAAGCACAGGGGCGGCACATTTTCCACCTACTGGGGGCGGCATTCATAGGGTCTGTTCCAGTCCAGCGGAAAAAACGACCTTGACGGCCATCACGAGACGCAGCGATTAGTATTCAAAGTTAACCCGCGCCCCACTGGGGGGGGGGGCTATTTATAGCCCCCCCCCTCCCGTTTTTCTGCAATAACTTCCAAACCGCTTGACGTATCGACGCCAAACTTTCAGTACCTTCGGCTGAATCAATTTGACACCTTGTGTCAAAATTTGAACTTCGTAGCTACCATAGGTCGGCCGGAAATGACGTCAGAGTGACGTCATGTTCGGCCGATTTCGACGCAAAACATTGAACCACGGCAATCGCTCCCAAGGGCTCAGTTTTTAAGCTAGATCCAATTTCTTTGCATGAGAGGACTCAGAATAGACTGCGCTATCAAACTGCTATCTCGGATTTTCGAAATTTTGAAAATTTTGAAAATTTTATATAATAAAATTCAAAATTTACATTTTTACATTTTTTCAAAAAGTTTTTGACTTTTCGAAAAAAAACCGGAATATATGTGATAGAACGCGTTATTATAACTAACTCTAGCAAGTTTTAGCTAAATATCTTCAAAAATGGCCAAGTTATACGCATTATTGCAAAAAAATTCACAATTACTAATTTTTCAAATCAATTTTTCAGCACGTATTTGACATCGTACGCCAATATAAATAGCACCATCGTGTTCCTGAGCTCAAACTGCATCCAATAGACACCTTTTTTGTTGAAAATTTTGAACTTCAAAATTTGACCTTTTTTGACCTGAAAGTGACCTGACCTAAGCTAAATTCGACTCAAAATGACCTCGAATGACACAGACGACATCAAATTCGAAATCTTTGGCCTAATTGGACCATAAAACATGTGTCACGTGACCGACGCATGATCTAATATTTTCGTGACCTGTGATGACCTGACCTTGACCTGAAAATCAAAGTACAAGTTTGGTAACCTCAGGGTATCTAGAGCATCTGTTCACGAGTGTGTGAACCAAAAATGATCCTGATCTGACTTGCAAGACGGCGGCCAGAGCCCAAAACGTGAGCAAGCCAAAATGCTAATAATTTTTAATTTGACCTGACCTGTGACGTCATCGGTGACCTCGAGGTCAATGAAATTAGGTTTCGCTCGACAGTTTTTCCGGGGCTATCAGACACCGTTTGAATTTTGACGATCGGCCCAGTAGTTTCGGAGTTAGGAGGGGGGGCTATGAATAGCCCCCCCCCCCCCAGTAGGGCGTGTTATACGCAGACCCCAGTGGGGCGCGGGTTAAGGTCTCAGGTCAACTGGTCACCTCTGAGGTCAGGTCAATTACCTTAAAGTGGGGTTTGGTTTTAGGCAAATAACTTCGCAAAAATTGGACACGGAGCAAAAATTTAGATATAATCGTATTCCTCTCAAGCAGCGCCGAATAGTGTAGATACTTTTTGTTCGGAAAAGATCACAATCAAGATTGACCCAAAGGTCGTCAGGTCAAGCCCCCTCAGGACACGGTTCGGACTAAGTAGGTCAAGTTGCATATCAGCCGATTTGGAGACTCATTTCAATCACAATGGTGCCTTTCCCGACTCTAACTCAATTTGGTCGAAAATTTATTAACGAAAAACGATTATGACCCAAACTTGGCGTCCTGTGACGTCCTCTATGACGTGATAAAAATTAAAATGCCAAATTAAGGCACGGAATTATTTGAAGAGCGTATGAAAACACGTTTCTTTGTGTCTTCGGGCGGATTCTAGCATGCCTACATATTGCAAAAAGAGCAAGTTCAGTATTGCCCCAAAGGCCTATAATGGGGGAGGTCACGTGACTGACGTGACCCAAGATGAATTGCACGAAAAATCCCAGATATACAAAGTATGAGTACCCGGGACCTTGCTACTTTCCGAAAGTGTCATCATCCTCAGATAATTTGCCTGGCGTTGGCGGCGTTGCGAAGTTGCGACGTTTTTTTTTTGACCGTGCAGAGGCTTACTTATAACCGTTAGAGGTTTTTTTTACCGTGCAGAGGCTTACTTATAACCGTTAGAGGTTTATACATTGGTCAGTGACCTTACTTAACTAACCTGAAAATGAATCAGGTGTCATAAGGTCTGGTTTGGATGGAGGCTCAGGTAGGCCAAGTTTCAGTTCTCTATCGAAAACGGCTCCGGAGCAGTCGCGAAAAAAAAAAACGTAAGGGGTGGAAACCCCTCTCCCTCGGAAAGGGGATAATCTGCCTTCAGGGACGTCGCTACGCCTTCAGAGGGAGCTACGTACATTTCAGAGGGTGGCACTGTGTCTCAGGGCCTTGGCTAAGGAATTTTGACTAGGGGGGCAAACCAGACTTCAGAATGACACCATTAGCATACATACACCGTATATACCGCATGTAACATGCACAGGCAAGGAAATACCAAATTCGCCCAAACATAAGTATACCTACCTTCTTCTACCGAGGGGCTTAGAGGCCAGCGTAGAGCCCTCGAAGGCCCAGGACGAGCCCTCGGGGGCTAGCATGGGACACTCAGAAGCCGCTTTGGGGACCCTAAAAGGCCAAGCGTGGGTGGCGTGTGGCGT